GATTGTAATCTAGGGGATTACTATCGATATATAGCACCTTTTAAATTTTGCTGATATTACTACCTGGATTTAATGAAAATGATGCAATTAATAATGCTTTAAATCATATGCAGCCGAATTCATAACAAAATAAAACTCAACAATTAACTGGCACACGATTGACACCATTCCCATAGATGAGTTTCGCACAGTAGAATATATAACACAAGCATTTCCTATACTTTTTCCTCGAGGAGTTGCTGATCTTCATGCATACAGATTAAGAGAAGTGAAACCAGCTGAATACTTTCAACATCTTCTTAAGTATAAAGATGGTAGATTTGCCTGACACCCACACTGGTGCTATTTTGCATTAAATTCTTTAATGCGCTGGAGGGCACTGGCAGAAGGACAAATATTTGTCAGACAGAATGTAGAAGAATGACAACTCACAACAGCTGAAGTTCAAGAATTGCAACAAAGTAATCTACATTTGGCAGATAGAGTAATAAGATATAGAGAAGGGCTGCGTGGTACTCGTCAATATTGAGCACGATGTCATGCTGAACTATCAAATATAATAAAACAATTAGGCTCTCAAGGAATAATTTTTTTTACCTTCAGTGCTGCAGACATACACTGGCCTGAACTTCATGATTTAATGCAAAATAATGTAAATATTGCTGAAGAAACAGATCGAGAAGCTGCAAGACGCAGGTGAAAAAATCTTATAGAAAATCCTCATATTGCAGCATAGTTTTTTAAGAAGTGATTCAAAGTTTTTTTTGAAAAGATTATGATTCCAAAATGGGGATTGGTTAATTGGTGGTATCATTTTGAATAGCAACATCGTGAAAGTGTGTATGTTTATAGAATTGCAATTCAAAAAGAGGCACCTAAAATACAGTGGGAAAGTATAAACACAAACCAAGAACAAATGGAAGAGATAATACATTATCTCGACTCATTAGTTACAACTATTAATCCAGGACTGAATGCACCAGTACCAAATCGTCACCCGTGCCAAAAACGTCATACAGAGATTGATGATGGATTGCAAGACTATATAGAACTCATAAACAAATTACAATGCTATACACGCTGTAGCGCTTCATAATGTTTAAGGGTCAATAAACAGACCAATCAACAATCCTGTAGATTCAGTTTTTAAAAGAGCTTAGAAGTCATACTATCGTTCAGCCTGATAAGCATGGTCACCCAAAATTGATTACTGCCAGAAATGATCCTTTTATTAACCCACATAATCGACTTCAACTCCAAGGCTGGAGAGCAAATATCGACCTCAAATCTGTACTTACGACCTATGCTGCTTTGCAGTATATTTCTAAATACGCAAGCAAGTTTGAACTAAGATCATTAGGGTTTTCTGAAATTTTAGATAGAACTCTCCGTAGTAGTAGCCCTGATAAACCATCCATTACAGTATTTCAAAAATTACTTCTTCATACTGTGTCGGAACATGACTACTCTGTGCAAGAAACTTGTCATTTACTTCTAGGAATTCCTCTCTACCAATGTAGCCAAAACTTCATTACATTAAACCTAAACAAAGAAGCATTCTGTTAGCTCTGTAGTAGTAGTGAAGTTGACGATCGAGATAATGATGAAATAGATAGTGCTGGAAAAACTGGGTTTTTACCTTTACAAATTTATTGGAGTAGGCCAGTTGAGCTTAAGGAGCTTTCACTTTATCAACTTTACCTATAGTATAAATTTGTTAAAGGAAGATAAATAAAATATAATAAAGAAAATATTGTTCGTGTTTGGCTACGCCCCTCACCTTTACGAAATGGTTTACATTGGGAAGATTTCTGTCACACGAAAGTTCTTCTTCATGTCTGTCACAAAAGCCTTCAACAGCTTATAGCTAATAACACAATCTCATAGAAAGAATTATATGATTATTATCAGGAAGAAATCAACTCAGGTTACAACGATTTAATCGGTTCTGTTGTGGACAGCTCTGAAGAACATTGTAGTGATAGTAGTGATAATGACAATATGCAGGAAATAAATGAAGATGAAGATGAAGATGAAATTCGACCTAGTTGGATGTCCTTGGCAGAGATGGGTCCAAATACACATATGTAATTTTCTAATGATCTTGGTCTCCGAGTCAGCGATAGAGAGTTTGATTGGGTTGGCGAAAGTCAAAAATGCTACCCAAACCTTGAGAATGCAGATAGCTTTATTCATGAAGCACGTAGTGCTGTTGATACTTCCTAAATCGAAGGTTTTGAAATAATAAATCGCGAAACTTTAAATGAAAAGCAAAGAACAGTGTTTGAAAGAATAGTATCTCATTATAATATGATTATTTCAGGACATCAGATAGAACTACTACATATAATAGTCATGGATACTGCAGGAACTGGGAAATCTTATCTCATCAAAGCAGTTAGAAGTTGACTCTATAAGTTACGAGACAAAAATCTTATGAAACCAGTTCACCTATATTAATAGTACTTGCACCAACTGGTGTTGCTGCTTTTAATATTAATGGTAGTACCATCTATTCTGTCCTTTCTATTCCAATAGGTAGCAAAAACATCAATATAGCAGGTGAACAATTGAAATGACTCAAAATAGATTACAAAATATGCAATACATTATTATTGATGAAATAAGTATGGTAGAATATCGCCTTCTTGCTTTAATTGATTTACGACTTCGCCAGGCCTTTCCAGATTGTGGTAATATTCCTTTTGGTAGTCGTTCAATCATTTTTGTTGGTGACTTTGGACAGCTTCCACCAGTATGCGATCTCCCAATGTATGCTAAAAATCCTCATTTATCTGATACTCTATCTAATGACAGATGTTTAGTTTATAGCCAAATTCAAGAAATTTACAAGCTTGATATTGTGCAGCACCATGCTGGCGATTCAGCAAAACAGTGCCAATTTAGAGATCTTCTCATACGTCTTCGTGATGGTGAATCAACCCAATCAGACTGGGAAGAGTTGATAACGAGACTTCCAGAACGATTACCTAGAACTGAACAAGAGACTTTTTCAAATGCAACTTGCCTCTTAACAAAATGGAGTGACATTGATGAAGTTAATTATCACAAGCTTCGACTTCTAAATTGACCAGTTATAAAAATTCGTGCCATTTATAACAATAATGAGGCTAAGAAAGCTGATTTTGATGAAGCTAAAGGTCTAGATGCAGAGATATTACTTGCAAAGAGAGCACATGTCATGCTTAGTACTAACCTTTGGACTGATGCTGGTCTTGTTAATGGTGCAATGGGAACAGTTGAAGATGTCATTTTCAAAGATGCCGATGCCACTATTTCTCTTCCTAATGCAGTCCTAGTTAGTGATGCCTGACGAAACCATGTGATGCTAATTGTCACATGCCATTACTTATAAAAAAAACTAAATAGATTGTTGATTTTTATATATTGTACCACGTGACAATTAGCATCACATGGTTTCGTCAGGCATCACTAGTCCTAGTTGCTTTTGACAAATATGAAGAACCTACTATTAGCACTCCTGAAGATATTCAAGTCATCCCAATTGCACCCGTATAGCGAATATGAGAAAGAAAATCCGAAATATGTTCACGTATACAGATTTCACTTTTTCTCACATGGGCTATCACTGTACATAAATCTCAGGGTCTAACCTTACCAAAAGAAGTTATTGATATTAGGACTATTGAGTTTGCAGCTGGCCTATCATTTGTTGTAGTATCCAGAGTTTGTTCTCTTAGTGATATAATAATCAAGCCATTTACATTCGAGAGACTTCAACATATAAAAAAATGTAAAGGCTTCGTGAACAAATTCTTGAGGAAGAGCGATTACTAAATTTAAGGACAGAAAATCTTCAAAGATTCGTTTGTGGTCTGTAAATTCGGCCAAATAAATTTTGATAAAATTTGAGTAAAAATATTTGTGAATTTACTGGGAGTTTATTCTATTTCAAATACAGTTGCTTTCAAAAATTTTAAAACAATTAAAAACTTGCCACTGACTGAATCGCTACCTATTGATAAAAATAGCTGTACTTAAATGGAGTCTATGATGAACTTTGATATAAGAAATTAAAAATCATGTTAGGGTTTATAAATATGTGATATTTACAAAAGATTGTTTTTGTAAATTCGTTATAGAGAACTATTTGTTTATGTCGATATTTTGTTGAACGTTAATCAGAATAATATGAGTTATTATTAATCCTGCCAATTTTTATATAACAAAATTTTGAAATAGCGAAATTATTTTTTTTCATTATAATGTGTTTGAACATATAAACTTATCTTTGAATACTGAATAGTTCTATATAGTGGAGCAGAATGAGGAATTCGCTATGTCAAGCTTTGAAAGTATTAGTTCTATTTTTTTTTTGAAAATGATTCAGTTTTAATGATCTGTACGTACTAATCTAATGTCGATCCTATGACGATCGCTGTACTGTATTACAAATGTATTGTATTACAAACAAAGTGATCGACATTGATCAGCCAATCAGATGCATGAATTTGCGAACAGACAGACATTCAGGTGATCGTCTTTCTCAACAGTTAAGTCCTTCGGACAATAAGCTATTCAAGTTTATAAATATTTACTATTCAAACATATTACAGTTAGTGAGTATAAAGAAACATTTATTAATATAAATATTTAAAATAAATTTAAATTATGAATAATTGATTAATTTTATTTAATATGCTGCAGTGAGTGAGTATAAAGAACATTTATTAATCTAAGCATTTAAGTAAGCTGTTTATGCTCATGAATATTTATTATTTAATTTTATTTAACATACTGTAGTGAGTAAGTATAAAGAACATTTAGTAATCTAAGAATTTAAAATAAACTATTCAAGTTTATAAATATATTATTTTGTTTACATTAATTAGTCGGTAAGCATAAAATTATTTGTATTTAACTTTGAGTGATAAATAAAAGCGAAATAACCAATATAATGTAATTGATCACTACAGAGAGTCGTCTTATGGAAAATGTGCACATTGTGATGAATATAACACGAAAAAAGCTTGGTGTCAGACATGTGATCCTGACATAGCAATTCAAGAATGGACAAGCGGAAATAAAGATATTGATAATTGCATAAAAGAGATTCAACTAAGAACTCATGATTATGAACGAATGATTGAATGGATTCCATTCGATAAACTAACTAATATTGAAAAAATTGGAGAAGGCGCATTTGGTTCCGTATTTTCTGCAACCTGGTTGGATGGCATACGAAAGATTAAAGAAACCGATGCTGATAACAATTTTTATGTGAGAACTAGTGAACCATCTAGCATAGTTGCACTCAAGACTTTGTCTAGCTCTAAGGATAATCCTCATGATTTTTTAAAAGAAGTAAGTTAATCATTTATTGTGCAATTTACCAAACGCATATTGAACTGATTATATGCAATTATACAGTTTGACAATCATATGAACTGTGCATTTAAAGGTAGCAAACTTAAAATATATGGATTGACACATAATACAGAAAAAAATGAATACTTTATGGTATTTCAATACGCTGATAATGGAAGTCTTCACAAGTTTTTAAGAAATAATTTTCGTGATCTTACCTGGCAAACTAAATTAAAACTACTAGAAGAGATTTCTGACGATTTAGATTGGATTCATATATCAGGATATATTCACACAGACTTACACAGTGGCAATATTTTGCAAAATGAAGGCATTAGTAAAAATATGCGATCTTACATCTCAGATCTAGGGTTGTCTAAAAAGGATAACGAAAACGATTCAGAAGGAGGTATTTATGGTGTCATGCCTTATGTCGCTCCTGAAGTTTTATCAGGTCAAAAGTTTACAAAAAGCTGCTGATATTTATGGCTTTGGAGTCATCATGTCAGAAATGTCAACTGGGCAAAGACCTTTTGATGGTTATCAATTTGATGAATGTCTCGCAATTAATATTATTCGCGGATTGCGGCCTGAATTTGCTCCTGGAACTCCGAATTGCTATATTGAATTTGCTAAGAAATGCATGGATTCTGATCCACAAAAACGGCCTACTGCTTATAATGTTTGGAAAAAACTTCAAGAATGGAACAAAATGATGAAAGATTCAGATGGCGCAAAGAATTCAAATGATAGCGATTATGATAAGAAAAATAGTATTAAAAAACAATTCTTAGAAGCTGATAAAATAGCCAAAGAATTGCCAATTGTCTTACCAAAACATCCCGATCTTATGTATACTAGCAAAATTATCAATACACAAAGAATAACAAATGCAATTAAAGGTAATTTTATAAAGTTACATTATTTTACTTATTTGATCAAAACTGATTATTGATTATGCTACGTTGGCAGCCTTACCAAGTCAACCTATTGTTTCTGTTGAAGTTCCTGTTGGTAAGTATAATTATACCTATTACTGTATTATTATTACACTTGCAATTAAAAATTTATTACTCATTTTATATTGACATTTAGATTAATTGTTTTAATGTTATAAAATTTTTGTCAATGTGAATAATTTTAAATTTCAATATACATAATATTTGCATAAATGCTATTATTATTAAAAATAAACTATGCAATTAAAATGTATATATTTAAATTTTATAATTATTTGATCTAAACCCACCCATGTAAGCTGGTTGATGCAAAAATTGCGTAACATTAATTATCAAAACATAGTAACATATTGCTACTATTGGTGTAATATCAGAATATTTTAAATAACAGACCTCATATAACATCTTTATAATATAAATTTGAATATGCCTAACATCTCTATAATCTAAATTATTTAAATACTTCCATTGAAGATGAGCACTTAAAGCTAGTTCAGTATTTAAATCAAATATGCATAATGTAGTATGCGAGTTACTTTTATGATAGATTCTTATACGAATATTAAATAAGCAAAAGGCAGGGTTGTGAGCTTACATAGTCTAATGGGAAAAAAGTCATTAACGAATATATGTCTATTCATAATTTTTATATGTCTAATGGTTGTCTAATACTGTCTATTTACAACCCAGCAAAAGACGTTCAAATTATATTTTCAAAACATGGAGCATGGAGTATGCCTAAATGTCAACATTATCATTTATAGTAAATATCATGATTTATTATATCATAGTAACATCTATAAACCTTATTTAATGTCTATTTTGCAATTCATTTTAAATTTATTTGATCAAAATTAAATTTTTAGAGTCATTTTCATCCTTTGTTAAAACAATTGCAAATCTAAGATATAAGATTGC